TGGCTCCTTCAATGACGAGGCTTCCTCGGCCTCGGTGCCAATTGAATCATCGGTTCTGGGAATCGGGGGTTTGTTCTTTGTACCTAGGATGCCCGCAGGTATAGGGGGGAATCTTCCAGTTTGGGAAATTATATAAGTCCTGAAGAATCTCTTGAACAATTCCTGAAAGTCGGAAGGTAAAAAAACCTCCAGCTCGGCCCGAGTAAGAAACAGAGCGATGCTCTGTCAACAGATGAGTAACTGAAGATGTATAGTAGATCCTGAATGGACCTCATGTTTTTGGGAATCAATGCTTACGGAAATACGTTTGATGGTAGAATCCGACTTTGCCCAGTTCACCCACCTCCGGTTCCGACAACTCCCATCCAATCCGTTTGCAAGGCACGCTTCTCGCAACGAGGCTTTGGAGCTCGGTGACCTTGCTGACGAAGTCCTTCCGAAGATCTGCCTGACAATCCTGGCGCAACGAGCCGCTTTTTGCTAAGCGCAACGTGCCAGGCTGAATCCTGGAGCCGAACGCGGGACAAAAAGTGTCCCATCTGAAAGCACCCAAAAGGAAACCACGCTGGAACAAAAGAACAAACTCCATGCACAGGTGATCACAGGTGTTCATATTCTTGGTTTGTTATATAACATGCCATATAATCTTGGGAATGGTTGCTAGTTGCCATCTACTCCCACCAGACGCCCTTGAGCTCACTAGCATGAGATGGGATCTTCGCCTTCAGCAGAAGCTCTTCTCGCTGGGCCTGCAGCGCCAACTGCTCCTTGCGCGGCACAGGCCAATCAGTTCGCAGCTGAAGAATGTCATCCCAGATGGGGGTTGATGAAGGTTTTACGGCATAGAACATGCATGTTGAGATAGATACTGTACAGTATATAAGAACGAATATTAAGACCGTGAGAACCGGTTTGCTCTTTCCGCGGGCGGTTGACTAATGTTTTGTGAAGCTGTTTTGCTGCTACTTCACCCCACCCCGCCCCACCCCGGCCCACCCCATGGAAAAATATTAAGTACATATAAATGATCCTTTCAACAATGATGAGGCCATCTCCATCTCATGTCCCTTCTACCAGGTACAATTAGCTTCTGATATCTGAGATCTTTGTTCAAGATCTGGTCAGACACAGATGGGCCGAATCCATTGCATTCAGCGGGGCCTGTAGATTACAAAAAGAAAGACAACGGCAAAAAGGGCATTGTTCAACTTTGGTTTCATTGCACCATTCTGCCCCCAAAACCATGGATCAACTTCGGTTTGGAGATTCAGTTTCAGGTACCCTCCATGGAGAAAGAGTTAGCCGTCCCTCCGTCCGTGCACATTTCTACAACATAAGCCAGTCATAAGCAATTCTGCCTTCCTTGAAACTAGCACGGAGGGTTGGAAAATGAGGCCTTCCACTCCCAAGCATTCTCTGAGACTGTCACCCGCACAAGCGCATGTTGTCGATGAAGCTCTTCCAGCTGCCTGATGGCGGTGGGGCTAAGAACTCATTCCTCCGCAAGTCTGGAGATTCCCGTAGTCATCCCAGTCATTCCGTTCACGTTCAGGCTGTCCAAGTTGGGTGAGCCAAGGGAACGGGATCATCTTCTAGTGGATAGAATCCACTAGAATCAGGACTCCAAACAAAATGCAAGCTGCACGAGTTCTTGTCGGCGCAACACACCCATTCACTCTGCCGAATGTTGTTGCTTCGTGAAGAGTTCGAACATGTCACACACCTGCGGTGAGGAACTTTCCAGTAATTTGTATCGTCCTCTTCTTCTGCTTCTTCTTCTTCTTCTTCCTTCTTCTTTCTTTCGTTCTTCGTCCTGTTCTTCTTCCTCTTGTTATTCTTCCTATTAATACCATTATTGTTTGTCTTCCTTTTCCCCTTCCTCTTCGTGATCTTCTTCTTGTTCTTCCTTCTTTATTTTTCTTCGTCCAGTTCTTCTTCTTCGTCTTCCTCTTCCTATTCCTGTTATTACTATTCTTATTGTTATTCTTATTATTTTTCTTTCCTAGTCATTATTTATTCTTTGTTATTTGTTCTTTCGTTATTTATTTCTTTTTTTATTTATCTACTTTCCTTCCTTCCTTCCTTCCTTCCTTCCTTCTTTCTCTCTTTCTCTCTCTCTCTCTCTCACTCTCTCTCTCTCTCTCTGTCTCTTTTTCTTTCTCTTTCTCTTTCTCTTTCTCTTTCTCTTTCTCTCCCTCTCTCTCTCTCTCTCTTTCTCTTTCTTTCTCTTTCTTTCTCTTTCTGTCTCTTTGTTTCTCTTTCTTTATCTTTATCCGTCTTTCTTTCTCTTCTTTCTCTTCTTTCTCTTTCTTTCTCTTTCTTCCTCTTGCTTTATCTTTCTTTCTCTTTCTCTCTCTCTCTCTCTCTCTCTTTGTTTCTTTATTTGTCCTGTTTTTCTTCCTCATATTCTTCTTATTATTATTCCTCTTCCACGTCCTCTTCGTCTTCGTTTTCTTCTTCTTCTTCTTTTTCTTCTTCTTCTGCTGGGTCTTGACAGGGTCTTGACCCACTCTATCTGTTCGAACACTACTATGAAGAAAAGAACTCATCATTGTTGTTCCGGAAAGAAGGGATGCTGCTGTCCCGTAGGTTCCACACGGGTTCCATGCATGAAAAAGTCCCTAGCAATGACTCGTTGGTGGAACTGAGTTGATGACCCAGCTGAGGGATCATCCGGAGACATCAAATCTCTTCGCCAAGTCTGGAAACCCCTTGGGAAGCTTAAGTCGTTGGGAAACAGTTCATCCAAAAAAACTTGAAGCAGATTGTCAGATGACGACCAAGATCTTGGAGCTCCCAAGCTGGCCACTGGGCGCACTATGTACTGCATTCCACTGGGATGTCTTTTACAGAACGTCAAGTGCTGTAGGGTTTTGTCTCAATGGCTCTAATGGCTTGGAAATCTTGGATCTGCCCTGCAGAACTGAAGTTCTGGCGGTATGTCCTGCCAAACCTTTCCTCCCGGCCTGGATAGGCCACTTTGGGCCCCTTCCATTCGTTCCAAACGAGTCCTCACCTCACTGAGCAGCACAGACTGAGTGTCCCAGAAATATTCCCGCATGGCTATGTATAGGTGGAACAAAACACAGCCCATCATTGGCGAGAAGGGATTCTTTACTTGGGACAGCAGTAGTAATTCTCATGTAACCCAATCATAAGCCCAACTTGTTTGTCAAAGGAGTGAAGGAGCTCTTGGTGAGCAAAAAGCTCTAGGAACCAGCTCGTGCGCGTTCACTGCTCTTTTTAAGCTCACATGCGGGGGCATGGACGCCGCCTTGGTTTCGACCAACCCACATTGACAGACCCTGGAACTCAGCCACATCCTGATGTGCCAACTCGAGTGGCGGCCAGGGCATCTTGGGCATGTTCCTGCTGGACTGCCTGGCGACTTGGAGCGGCGGCGGTTGGAGGGGTTTGTATTCAAATAGGGAGAACTGCCAAAGAACCCCTGGAAGAAGGAAAATAGACCAGTCTACCCATTGGGCCAGGGGATATTAAAGACATACCCGCAGAAAGTGGAGTGACAACATCAACCATGGCCCACCCAGCACCAACCTGTGGTGTGACAAGCGGGTGCCTGTAGGCCAGCATCTACACGGTCGACTTCCACCTGCCTGAGAAAAGCAGCTGTGGAGGAAGACGTGTGCTTGAGAAGAGCAGGGTGACGGGGATGGTGGTACTGGTGATGCTATGGAGGTTAGGCCAGTTTATTGGCATTCCATGCTTGTGTGGGCACTCCAACCTTCAATCGGAAGAGAAAGCTGTGTGAAGTCGGTCTCGCAGAACTAGGTTGGACCAGGAGGCCATCGCTACTAGGGTGGAGGCCATCGCTACCAGGTTGGAGGACATCGCTACTATCACAAATCGAGTGTTGATCTTGGAGGCTTTGGCTCAGCCCACCACGAAAGAAAAACTGATGGAAGATCCTGCAATCTTCCCACTTTCCATCCGGACTCACCATTTCTAGGGTATCCAAAGAATCACTTCCAGTTACCCCATCAAAACTCTTGACTCGATTTCCCCGGTTTGCCTTTCCTTCAGTCCAACTCGACCGGCCTGGCTGCGCCACTTTGGGTCGCTTCGAGGCTGGCGAGGCGGGTCTTCAACTGGCGCCGGTCAGCAAGCGGAAGTGAAGGCCCTGGGGGTGGTGATGCGAGTGACGAGGCACGGGAGTCTCAGGATCTGTGGGAACACCCTAGTCTCAGAACCGAGAAAAATGGATCCTGGCAAGCTGAGAACCTCGAAGCCTTCCCTGACTTGAACCGCATCAACCTCATCCCCTCCAACCCATCTCCCAGTCCCAAAACAAGAATATCCCCCAGTCGTTCGCCATCCAACAAGGGAAACATCTCTCCCCCCATTCTCCCAGCAAGATTTGCCCCACCAGTCACCCGCCTTGAACCGTCACTCACCGACATCGCCCCATCTGCCCAATCTCCCCCCCCACCAGCTGCTCCAGCTGTGACTGTCGGAGCTCCGCTGCGCTCGAGGCACGCTCCAACTCTCGATCCATGCGCAGAAAAAGGGCGCTCGTCGCCTCGCGCGGGACGTGTTGAAACCGCTGGGGTGAAAGGGCCAACATGGGTGGGTTCTGCAAGGTGATGAGCCGGTCAAAACGCTGTAGCTGTTGCAGATCTGTTGGGTAGGGTGAAGATGGCCGTGAGGGAAGGGCGGAGCTAGTGTATGGGAGTGGCAATGGTAGGTACAGGCCAAGAGTTGATCAAGGTGCAATGCAAATCCAGCATATGCCCGGCACACTCTTTGTCTCCAGTGCCGTCTCTACGACTCTAAGCAAAGGGCGGCATGCTCTTTACAAGCAAAGACTCACTAACGCAGCGCATGTCTTGCAACACAACTCTCCAACGCGCTTGCATCATTCTCTGACTCTGAGGTAAGTAAAATCTGCCCATGAGTCTCAAGAAACAGAGAGCCGACTGATTCAGGCTCTACCGACTCCGACACGCCAGCTGCAGCCCTCATGCTGATTTGGTCCTCCAGTCTTGTACAAGTGCGTAACACGGTAAGCATGTCCGATGTCATGGGTGGTAAGCCTGGCTTGACGCACACGAAACAAGCAGACCCTACAGAAAATCTGGACTCAAGCAAGGCTTTTGTTCGTCGCAGCATGAGTTTCTGAAAGACCTCAAAGCGCAGTCTCTCCATCGCTGTCTTGCCACTATCCAAGCTTTTGCAAAATCTGGCGACTCACCACGTTGTGAGTCTTCGCTTCGCTTGGGGGACCTACTATCCCCCGCCGGCGACGTCTGAAAACGACGTCCTGTAGACGAATTCTTGCCGTGGTCGAAACCGGGCGACGGTGTCTTGTGCCGACGCCCAGCACGTACCGGACGGTATAAAGAAAAAACTTGGCAAGCGGCCGGCCCCAGACCTGAAGGGTTGTCATGCTGAGAGTGCTGCATCTTTAGATCAACCGTCAAAGAGATTTTCTCTAGTGCTACATGTTCAAAGTATCTCTGAATGTGTTTCCATCGTTTGGGGTTCCCTGATCTCAAGACAAAACCTAGAAAAGTTCGGTCTTTCCTTTTGCCGCACCTGTATGTGCTATGCAGAGTAAAAAGCCAGCTGCTTGCCTCAAGCAGGCCTCAGTAGCACACTTCCTCCTCCTCCTCCTCCTCTTCATCATCATCCCACTGATTCATAAACTTTGTGCAAGGGAGGGACATTTGTTGCAGGAGTTCTTCCAACCATAGGCCTATTGGCATTCGTTCTTTCCACATCTCTCTCAGGTCTCTCCAGCCAAGCGGCCTCATTTGAACAGCGTAGAGCTGCTCAAGAGCAAGGATGAATTGAAAGCTCCAACGTTGGGGAAGACTGTATTAATCTGCCCGCTTTCCAAGCCCATCCATTGAGCCACAGGCAACATCCTGACAAACTCAGCAAGGGTCAATTCTGCACAGAGGTGGTCACTGATCGTTGTTTCCACGACTCACGAGGGTCGTAGTATCACCAAGCTTTGGGAGGTCGTCCCTAAGAAGGTCGTCTCCGTGATGCAATTCGTGTTTTGTCGTGACTTGAGACAGGCACCTTCCATGCAGCCAAGCATCATGTTCTCCCAAGGGTACTTTGGGATCAAACGGCCTCTCCCTGCGTCCTGCCGGTGAGAACGTCATGTCGACGAGTCCAGCCAGGACCGAAGACTTCGGCAGAAATGCCACCCCACAGCGGTCCCTCCCTTCTGGCGGTTGGGGTGTTTCACCCTATCACCCAGGGTTGACCCCACCCCGTGTGAAGAGAACAGCAATGTACATCTTCACGTACATGTTCTTTGGCCACCCCCAGAAAGCAATATGGTTGTGGCATGGGTCTTGAGGACCTACTGTTGGTGCACGAAATCCTGTACCTCCTGGGATAGGGGAAGCCCGGCATTTACGATGTTGTTTGTTTTGCCAGGTGGTGCAGAGTGTCCTCCATCAAGAGCGTTTGCATCCTCTGTCTAGTGGACCACTGCTTTGCAACTTACATTTGTTGGACCCACACCCAAACTGGACAGAGGGTCACAAATTGGCCGCTCCCCCTGGGAGTTCCCATGTCCCCCTCTCATCTTAAAAGCACGTCACCATTGGTCGGCAGCCCTACCACCCATGCGCCTGTGTGCCTCCTTCTTTGAAGGATGATGGGAAGTCATTGTAGACACGGCCACCCTTGACGGCACCTGGTGCACCCATTTGGCAGAAAACTGAATCTGAAGCAAAAGTGTGGAGAGAGTTGGATGTTGAGCTTTAGTTCCTTTAATATGCATACTATGGGTGTCCTTTTTTGTATGGATTGCCACAAACATGCCATCAGGGGTTACCACCTCTGTTGAAATCAGCCAAGACTTGACACACTCACCTGACGCCACTTGGAACACTATCACCACCCTCCAAACAGCATCGCTACGAAGCTCTGTGGCAAGCGTGGCAAGAAGACCGTAGTAGCGCTGAGTGGCGCTGTTTTAGACGTTTCCGCAGCGAAACGGTCGAATGAGACAAAGTCCCCAAACCCTATGATACATTGAAAAAGATCGAAAAAGGTGGTTCGGGCCGTGAGACTGGGAGACAACACCCACGGGCTTCATCCGAGCCGCTGATGAACATGCCCGTTGTTCCCCCCCGGAAAGGCGGCTGAAAGACGTATAGGAATCTCGCCTCCAAGGACCATGTAATTTCCACTCCAGCCATGATCCGTGCCTTCTCCACCTAAGCGAACTCACTGGAGAAGGGCATCAAAGGTTCTGGCCAAGAACCATCAGGGCCGATGACCAAAACCAAACAAGAGTGATCACAATCTTTTCTCAACCTCTGGGATATTTCTGGTCATGCTATCTCGAATCTCAACCAAATCGAGTTTCCGGTGACTGTTTGTCAGCAAAGTGGAGAGGAAGACCAACCGGTTCCTTCGGCGTTCGGCGTCAACGTTGAGCTCCTCACTGTTGGGCGTCAAGGTCCGTGCAAAGTCTGAATGTGTCACCACGGTTGTAGAGTCAAAGATGTTCTGTGCCTGGCGCAATCCAGGTGGTGGGTGAAGAAACGATGCCAATCATCCAGAGTTCATTACATAGAACTCGGGTTCATTCATGTTCAAACCTTCTGTAGTCTCAGAATCTTCTCAGAACCCATGGTGGCTCACAACGCCCAACTCTTGGAGACGTCCATCCGACCCAAAAAAGTGTCCCATTTCGGTTCGCCTTCATCTCATTGACAAAGGAAGTCAGCGCTGAGTTCAGCTCTTGGAAGCGGTTATTGAGCTCCTGACTCACACTCGAGTGCCTCAGCGTCAGCGTCAGCTCACTCGAGTGCCTCATGGGACCAGAAACATGCCACGGTCGTTCACCCGTGTTGGACCGAAAAGAACATCATGGATGAACTGGTTGGGTTCCCACCAGCTCCTCAAAACCACTGTAGTCTACACCAAGAAGTTGAATAAGAAACATGCTGAGGGATACCATATACACATATATATATATACTGGGGTCAGATGACTTAGGCCAAAGTGGTCCGATATGACATACAGCTTTGCCAGGGAAAGTCCTAAGTCATGTAGAGGTGTAACATTTGCCATTTCAGACGTTCATGACAAGACCTCCTCCAGATTCTTGATTCACAGCCGACCGCATCAGGTGTTCTTTCAGTTTCAAGTCATCCCATCGCTCCATCCGAGACATCGCTCCATCCGGGCCACGTGTCCCAGCCACCAATCTCTACCTCTGTGAAGGACGGGCCAAACCGGTCTGTGAAGGACATGTTCGAGAAACTCCAACAAATGGCACCCCTTTCGAGAAAACCTGACGAGATGATCAAGGAAAAAAATGATGTGCGCTCTTTAGATGCAGTTCTCGGTAAAGAGGCAACACAAGACGTGCTCGCAGCTCGGAAGCTGCTACAAGTGACTGATACACACCCATGAACACAAATACAATACAAATACAGCTAACAAAAAGAATGATGCAGTAGTCTTGCTTCGTTCATCATGTTCTCTAGCAAAATGACTGACAATCCTGTGCAGGATGCGACGCTAGGATCACAGCAATGCAATGCATGTTCATCCGCCGAGCGGCATAAAAGACGTCACGCTCGGACTTCCTTCCGTGTCGAGCTGAGATCAAACGTGCCACCTGCTTCAGCTGCCTGCGCAAGCCGGTCGAAGACGGACCGGATGGACCCGACGGACCCGGTCTCTTTGGGCCGAAGGTTCAAAGGAAAGAGGAAGTGGAGATAGATACTTTGGGCCAAACGGTTTAAATGGCCGAACTTCCATCTTGGGTGTGATTGTGATAGATCTTCCAGCGCAAGAGAGAACTGGTTGGTTGGGAAGATTGACTCGATCACATTTCCACACTGAATTCGTTTGCAATGCTCAAAGTTAGCTTGACAGGGGGACATTGTGTAAGAATGTTTAAGTCTACCAGTCTACCATCCCATCGCTGGGTCGCAAGAGCACACCCAGCGAATATTAAGCTCAGAAGCAAAACCCGAAAGAAAACCACACGTCAAGCACCCAGCAGCTATGTCAACCTCATTTGAGACAGAACCAATGCATGTTCAAAAAGGGATTAACTTGCCCATCTGCATTAGGGAGACTGCGTTACAGTTTTTTACATATCTATATATGTTGTATACTGTATACTTGGCAGCCAGCATGTCCCAACCTGGAGCCCAGTTTGACCCACTTGGACACCACTGTGCCTTGACAAGTCAATCTCATTGGTTGGAAACCTTGGCTCACTCGGAAAAGCCGGGCGAGGCGTCTCTGCAGAAGATGCCCAGAACAGCGGAGGTCAAACAGCCCAGAGTCGCTCGGCTCTCCAGGTTTCACCCTAATCTACGGGTCAAAGAGAGACCATGGATCTATGACGATCTATGGATCACATCCACATCCAAAACCCGGTACCTCGGAGGCAACTGCTCGGTGCCACGTCTGCTGAGCTGGGCATTCTGCCGAGCTACGACGTCTTCAGTTTCGCAGTCTCTAGCTGGTTCCCAAGCTCCTGAAGCTGGTTTGTGCAAATTGGGTGGACTCATGACTCATGCTCTTCTTGCATAAGCGATTTGCAAACATAGATGTTGTATACAAATGGATATCAATGGGTCCAAACACATTGCAACTGGCCACCCAATGTAACAGGCCACTTCGTGCAAAGGATGTACCACAGTTGCATTTGGGTCCTGATTGAATTTGATGGCCTTGGCGAACTGCGTGGAGTATTCCTGGATGAGAAAAGGCACATAAACTGTCAACAAAGAGAAAATAAAACTGTAAGTGTTTGGGCCTCTTGAATAAGGACCCTTTAAAGGCCTGTGAAAGGGGCCGAAACACCTTCCGTTTTTCCTCTTTCATGTTAGTTTTGACGTGACACTGGCCTTCGTTTTTCAGAAAACAATGGTCTTTCCATGGCACCCCACCTCAGCATAGATGTTGCCATGACGCACACTGGTGATGTTGTCGATGACGGTCTTCAAGCGATCATAGTGCTTGAAACTGACCGTTCCTCTCTGCGAAAGCATCGACGTCGTCGCTTTCGTCTTTCCTCCCACTCAGCCAGACATGAAAACCTGGAGACACATGAACTGGAGGAAGAAACCAGGTGTATTCGGTCCTACGTCCTACTCAATTCTTCCAATGACACTTCCTCCTTCATCTATCACACCTATCACAGGTGCTACAGTATAATCATAATCCGACAGAATCTTTAGAAGCTGGATGAGGGTCTGCAAATCAGCCGTTTCTCAAACAGCATCAGTAGTGTAGTAGTGATCATCAAAGTCGCTCACTCGTGCGACAATGAACCCCGAACGGAAATCTGACGTTGCCTCATCCCCGTGTTTCATCTACATCCAAGCCCCAACATTATTGCGGCCTATTTGATTTGCTGGCATCAATTCCCAATCCAATCCGAATCCCATCACGGATTCCGCCTGAGTGTTGATCGATGATCTCCGCTGAGGTTTGCTTCCCCTGGGACCACGTGGACATCCCCGCCACCGAGAAGGACATGGTTCCTGACCGCGCTGGATCGGTCCATTCTGGAACCGCAGTGGATCGGTAAAGTGGCCTGATTGACCCTGGTTGCAAACGCCTCACATGATTCACTACTTCTGTGTCAAAGGACAAGCTTTTGCGCAACTGTTCAAAAAGGACTTGAGATTCTTTTTTGCGGAACTGACTCGTCTGTAGCGACCGGTTGAACAGCCGAGGGGGGAGCGTGGTACATCACATCAGATGGGCATCTTTCGGATGGAGGCACAAACATCCCATGGTCTGCGTGGTCTGTGAAGGCTCCATGTGTCGGTTATCCACGATCCGTGAATCAAGCTGTTTTTCCTCCAAGCCCCACCCCCAATCCGTGAAGCGGGGGGAGCATATAGCTACAGGGTAGTCATGGCATGCCGAAGCCATCCAACATGGACTACCCGGAATACGAAAGCCCAGTCTCAACCGGTCCGCTTGAGCCCACGAACGAAGCTTCGACCCCACTCCACCGGGACTCGGAACTTCTGGCTGCCCGAGGCCAAAGCGTCCTCGGCTAGAAGAGAATGGGTGCAGGAGAGCTCGTCCAGCAGCCGAGGTTTGTAATTATATATATATATATGCATGGCATGATCTTTTGACTCAATTTCTCCATTGAGCCAAATCACTGCCACTCGCCCACCTGCTCCTTTCTGAGCTGAACCTGAATTTTGGCACGTCAGCGTCTGAGCAGCTTGCTGCTGATCCGAGTGGGAGAAGAGCCCAGTGCAACCTGGGCCCGCCGCTTAAAAAAGTGCTCTTTGAGGCAACTGCGCAGTGTTTCCTCACACAAACCATCTCCGTAAGCAAAACTGCTGCCCTGCAGACCCAGAAGCACTCCTCGAAACCACTCCCCCATCCTCCCTGCCTGCTCCCCCCACACAGCCCCCATCCCAGGTCGCAAATGTCCAAGTGGCGCTCACCGGTGCCGCTCTCCCATTGATCTTTGGAGATGGGTTCCGCCAGCGAGCCAATGTCGCTGAGAAAGGCCACCTGCTGAGGCACCAAAAGGTAAAAAGCGGCGCCGGCTTTTGCCCGAGGCGACCAACCACGCCTTGTGACTCATGTCTGCTCATGTGGGAAGAACTCTTGGGGAATGGTTTGATGAATATATATATATACCTAGGAAACAGAACAACCATTTTGAAATGGTCGAAGACTGCTTTTAAATTAGAAGTGGCCGTTTCGCAGGAAAGCGGTCGTTTGTTATTCTCCATTTGAACCGTGTTTGCCAGCACTCCTTTTCATTTTCTTTTGGCAGCTTCCTGGGTCAATGCTGACTTCATTGCAACCAAATAGCGGTGCAATATCTTGTTTCCATGATCTTTCGCTGACACTCGCCTTGATGTTTTGGCAACTCTCCCAACAAAATCTTCGCATTGGAAGGTCGAGTAGGCCAGTGGGTTCACCACTGCATGCCTATCGACCTGGAACTGGGTGAACGAAAAGAGGAGAATGTGCATGTACATGTGCAGTTTGGGTTTGACCTTGTAGAGGCACAGCTTCTTCCTAGTGCTCAGCACAGCCAAGCGAATGAACAAGCGTGCGAACTCACATCCCGACACAACTGATTCCCATGCTTCCGTCGGTGTAAACCAGAATGATGCAGAAAACAACAGGCGCATGTATTGACCAAGCGCGCAGCATGCGTCACGGATTGCCAAGATGATTTCATCCGCGCTTCCGTCTCCACCTTCTTTTATGATCTCTGAAACTAGGTGCTCAACATACTTGCACATAAACGCTGTATCAGCACCCTTTGACCAACGGCCAGATGGGTACGATCGCGAGGAGCTGTATCCCAGTAATTCCAAGGTGATGCGCTTTCCGAAGTGACATCTCTCACCTTTGTTGTTTCGCATATACTCTGCCAGCTTTGAATTCAGAGGAGTCAGGGCGTCTTTCAATTTCCTAGTCTTGAAGCACACCTTCATGATGTACAGCAAACTTGAAGCAGCAAAGTCCTTACCTGTCCCCAGATAGTGGATGTGGAAAATGTCTGGAAGATAAAATCCAGCCAGGTTGTTTTGGTCGCACAGGAGGTGTGCCAACAAAGGACTGGGGACATCCCAAGGCAGCGGGTTCTGGGGTCCGACCCGCTGCGTCCACATTCCATCAACAATGTCGACATCCTCAAATGCCGAGCCATCAGTGCTGCCCGCATCACAAAGCCAGCAAATTCCTGGAAGCTTTTTTGTTGATGTTGCGCTTTTGCGCACGTTGGAGAAACTTCTGTTGTGGAATCCAGCTTCTCTCAGAAAGGGCGCGTCGCCCGTCAAGCCAAGAACTGCGATTCTCCATGTTTCACCATTGAACACAAAGCCAGTCTCAAACATGTCACGCATGGCACGCGCCCAAAGGTTGATCAGTTCATCGAACCTACCCCGATTTTTCTTGTAGAATTCCACCTTCATTGCTGTGAACAGGAATCGGTTTGCCAACGTGTTTCCCAGCAAATTGACACCAGCACTAAAATCGCCGCCATGACCGTCTGGATGTGGCCGTTTGGCGCCGCACCCAGGCACGGGCTGAAGATTGACAGGGTTTTTGCGTGTCCCTGCTCCAAGGGCTGGGAACATGCTCAGGATAAGGATAGAATCTTTTTTGTAAGTGCGGCCTCCATCACCATGCAAAAAATAAGGAACTAAATGAGCGAAGTCAAGATCCCGCACTCCAAAAAGATCGTGCTGGGGGAACTGCCTCTGGTACTTCCGCCAAAAGTCAGGGAAAACTTCGTGACACTTGGCAACTGGCACCCCAATAGCTTTGTGAAGAAAGCCAGCTTCAGCAACTGTTTGAAGTAGGTCTTTGGGGTGAAGGCTAGGGTATTTGAAGCTGTCATCTAGGGCAAGGTTTGTCACCGATACGCCCATGGCTAACCCACAAGATCTCAGCGCCTGGAACAATGGTTCATCAGCAGATTCCAATTTGGCACGCGCAATTCGTGCCAGCACAGTGCAGGGGTCTGTTTTGCTAGCAGCCTTGGCTTGTTCAACGCAGTCCTTGGCAGTAACCTCGGCTAACAAGTTGGTACTCATGGGATTGAAGCCCTTGAACTACTGTGAATTAAAAACAAAACAAAACAAAACCTGTAAGGGGCAAGGTCTGGCACTGGGTAAGAATGAGTCTTCGCAGGCGGGCAACACCATTGCCATATTTCCTGGCGATGTCCAGCACTGAGTCGCTTAGCTCAACAGGACCTGGCACTGTTTAGTAGTTGGTGGTTCACATCTCTGATGGAGGGGGCATGTGTGTTGAATGTTGACATTTGTCCCCTCGCAGACGCAGGTTCCATGGGTGCTATTCCATTACACCCATCCCGGGCTGCCAAACCCCAAACGTTTAAAGAGACTACCACGCTGCATCACAGTGAAGTATGTTTTATAAGTATGCTTTCTTGATAGTAAATATAAACCCTGGAGCGACATCGCAGCATGGTGAAAGGTCGCAAAAAAGCGTGGAACATATGCTCAGTGCATACTATACATGCACTGCTGCCAACGTGACTTTTTCACGCTGCCTATTCATTTTTGCATTTCTTCAGTTTCTTGGCCTTTGCCACGTAATGCCTCAGTGGCCCGGCAAGCGAAGGAAAAGTTGAGCATCGATGAACACTGGGGCACTTGCTTAGCAGCAGCTTCTGAAGAAGTCGCTTTGGACATCCTTGGACGAATCTTGGCTTTCCAAATTCGAGATATGCCTATATATTGTTACTTCCTTTGAGTGGGACAAGCTGAGTGTGCTGGAAAGCTTCAGCTTGGTCAGCTCGGCAAAGTTTTTTCCAGCTTGTCAGACAGCCTAATGCTTGATGTGATTTTGCTTTGGACAGGGTTGGCAAAACACATGTAAACTGTAAAGCTATTTGCTTTTTCACGCAAATACGCTATGGCATTTTCCCATGTACATGGCAGCATGGGGCCCACACTCCTTGGTGTAGCCAGTGGTGGCTCCTTCTGCCTGCTGGTCAGCCAAGACGTCGTAATTCTTGTCCAGCTCCAATACAATCTTATCCAGCTTTGCCACGGTCCTAAGCTGTCAGCCCAGGCGAGCTGCGATCATGAACCTCGCCTTACAAACCTCATGCTTCTTTGGCAGTGCTGAACATCGAGGACAGGAGGCTGGGAGCAACTTTGGTCTTCGGTACATAGTGGTCGAATCTTGTCAACCAAAGATGCCATAGCTGTCTTACTCTTCAAGCAATTCTTCAAGTACATGTCAAGCTTGGAACGAACCTAGGTTGGGAAGCACCTTGTTCACCATTCCACACCCCATACATGCAGCATAAAGCACACTCAACAGAAGTCAATCGAAATACGCCACCCAGGCGCATTCAAACGTGAATCCCCTTCTTGACTCAATTCCATGCTGGCACCAAGTTCCGGGAAACCACCAAAGGAGCTCAAATCCATGTCAGGCATGACCTGGTCGCCTGACACCTCACCCTCACGAGTCTGTGTGCGAGAAATTTGCTCAAGGTCCTCACGAGATAGCGTGCCTGAAGTTCTGGTGTTCACCCAATACTCCAATGTATCCTCATCATACTCGCAGACCCTGCGGCACATGGTGGACATAGCATCCACGACTGCAAAGCAGGCAAGCAAGTAAGTCATATGATATCATATGCAAGTGCAAATTCTCCAGCCTCACGAGTTTCTTGGAAATTGCCCATTTTTTCACTTTGTCGATGCGATCCCTTGGCCAAGGCGCTTTAGTGAAGCACACCCTAGTCTTCACAAGTCACAACACGGAAACAGTCTCAATTTAATTGCAAACACAAGCGCTGGGAGTAATTGAGTTCATTTCGCATATCCTCCTCCGAGTAAAAGCCTCCCGTGACCTCAACCTTCTTCCGCTTAGTGCTCACAGACAGGATTTCCAACCTCTCCACGAAAATTGCCTCCAAAACAAAGAGCGACAAAACACTCGCATGCGCGCACATGCACTCATACATGCGCTTATCTTTGGTGCACAGATCCAGCCTTGATACCACCACTCTTGGCCCACATGGCGAACAATTTTTCTTTCCCATCCTTTGTGTTCCAAAGCTGAAAAATGTCTTTGGGAACATCAAGGTTGCCACTAGCCGGCTTTGGTGTCACAATCCTGCGGACCTTAGCTTTCTCATTTGGACTCAAGGTGCTCGCATGAAGGACGGCGGGCTCTATGCGTTCACTTTCCATGGGGGCTTGTGACCTGGGGCTGGGGATTTCCTCCTGGTCACCATGCCCATCCAACCCCTCAGCTGACTGCGCAGGCAGCTCCGGTGGTGCAGTAGCCTTGGCTGAAAGGGATGATTGCAAGTTTGGGAGAAAGGGTCTGCTTGAACATATTGTATATATAGCCAAAAAACAGGTTTTAGCTCTTGTGGGTTGGGTTGAGCTGTGTTGGAACGTTGTCTCACGAGCTCTGCAATTTGCTCCTGTTGCTGCTTGACAATGTTCATCAGCCATTCATACTTCTCATCACTGGGGTCCTGAAAGATGCAAATTAACCAAATTGGCCCCTCAAACATATGACGAACCAATAATTTCAGCAAATTGCGATGCAAACAGCTCGATATATATACGACTAGGATCCGTTTCCAGACGGAGCCTTTTGTGGGCTGGAGGGTCGGCTGGCGATGCTTGAATGGGAATCCAAATGTCCAAGGGCCCCTCCGGTTCACAGCCATTCGCAAAAACCAGACTTGAGTCCTGATGAGCAGGGGCCTGCGACTCACTCACAGCGTCGAAATCTGCCCCTAAATCTCGGGGAATGGATATCGGTGTGTCTGGCCTAGTGCTGGGTACCTCCACCGTCTCAGGGGCCTTTGAAGGCCTCGCTATGGCTGGGGTCGGAGCTGTGAGACGCTTGATCCTCTCCACAGTGTCACCCCCACATGGCCTTTTCTCAGGCTCCTTCCGAGGAGACGCGGCCTTTGGCGGCGGTGCCGGGGCAGCAAGGGCAGGGGGCATTGGGGAAGATCCAGTCAAAGGTCGTGGGGCTGCCTGGAC